TGGTATTTCCTGATTTTTAAATTCTTTATTGGAATTTCAGTTTTAACATTTAAAGACTGAAACACTTACATTATAACAAATATTCAACAATTGCTTATTGCTCTCTGAAGAGAACACGCCTCTCTTAAAGCGGTCCTGGCTATAAAGTTTGGGGTAGCACTGTATTAAGTTGCACATCTCGTATCCTTCAGGGGAGTAAGGAAAGGAATAAAACAAACTTCATCTTCAGGCTGGTGTAACTGAAAGAAGTTAGTCAAACCCCTGATGGCTATACAAGCCATGCACAACAATACCAGTTTTTACTTGACCAGCTGTGAGGACTGGACTGATGTGGAAGATTCCTCTCAGTGATGCTTTAAAGCTTCCTTAAAATTTCTCTAGTCGGAAAGACTATAATGTGAAGGACAACAAACCTCCTTATCACTCTTCTACCTGCTCCACAACTTGATGTCAAAAGCACTATTTGGAGATACACGTGTAGAAACAAGAAACAAGAAGCAAGAAGAAAAAGGGAAATCTCTTGATACTAGAGATGGGGGCTTGGGAGACGTTCCCTCCCTCCAGGGAGCGGGAAGGGGGTAAGACTAGTGCTCTCCCCCCCCCTTCCCCGCCCCTAAGAAAATATTAGGAATTTTTTGCTTTGTCAGATTCAACTCAAGATTAAACAATTAAACATAGAGTTCCGAGAAAAGAAAGCAAGATCCTCAGCCAGTTCAATTAAATACAGCGTTTAGCCAAAAGCAAGATCCTATAAAAATAGTTCTTTCTTGTAAAGTGGCAAACTTTTTATTTTCAAAATTAGCCAAAATATGATTGAAAATTGTACTAAAATGAAGAAAATGAAGAACAAGACATACAGAAATCTCAAAATATTTCCATTTGATATCATAAAAATCTTTAAAATATTGTAGAATTTAATTAAAATAAATTATTAAAGTGAAATAACAAATATTCAAAAGCTTTAATATCTATAGATTATCCTGAATAATAGGGATAATATCTACATAATATTCCGAAATAGTAGTGATAATATCTACAGATTAATTCTGAATAACAGAGAAAATATCTACAGATTAATTATGAATAACAGTGATTATATCTACAGATTAATCCTAAATAGTAGTGATAATATCTACAGATTAATCCTAAATAGTAGTAATAATATCTACAGATTAATCCTAAATAGTAGTGATAATATCTACAGACTAATCCTAGAAACAGAGATACAGATTAATTATGAATAACATATTAATATTTACAAATAACTTCTAAGTACCTCAAAAAAAGTTGCAAAGTTCGTCATTTTTTTTAACGAAGGTAGGTGGTTAACAGTGGCCTTATTCTATAACAGTTTAAAACTTTTCTATTCATTAGTTTTAACTTTATGTTTTTTTTTCTATCATGGCCGGAATTGGTACTGTAGCTGAGTATAGGGCTGGGCACGTTCCGACTTTTTTGAAATCGTTCTGTTCCGTTCTAGAACGAGGGCCTTCAGCTAAATCGTTCCGTTCTCGTTCCTTTTTTTTGTATCGTTCCGTTCCGTCCTGTTCCGTTCCGTTCTGAGTAGAAGAACGGTCTTCCCGTTCCGTTCCGTTCCGTTCTTGGCGTTCTTATTTAAAGAACAGTTCCATCCCTCTCGTTCCGTTCTTAATCAAAGAACGTTTCCATTCCCCCGTTCCGTTCTTAGTATAAAACGATTACTAAAACCGGGTTACCTTAAGAAAGGGGTTGTACAATTTGTAGATTTTTGAAAAATATTTAATTTTCATAATCAAAATTTCAATAATAGCAAAAAGAAATAGAAATGAATAATAGAAAACACTAATGCGTTCCCAACTTAGAACTCGTTCTTGAAAATAAGAGCGCGTTAACGATTTTAACCGTTCTTTTCAAGCAATTCCCGTTCCGTTCTTTTACTAACCGTTCCAAAATTTTTAAGAACGCGTTCTAAGCGTTCGTTTTTTTCCGGAACGATGGGATCGTTCTTGATCGTTCCGTTCGTTCACGGGAAAAAACGATCGTTCCACCAGGAACACGCCCAGCCCTAGCTGAGTACAGTAAATAGCCTAAACTGAATTGAATAATAAAGTGATTATGCACACAAATAATATTTACACATTAAAAATAATAAACAATACAAATTGTTTTAAAACGATAGGTGTAGAGACAGAACACTTCAGGGATTTCTCCAACTTGATTGACGGACGTATTCCTCCACCACCAACTCCTTCAACCTCTTTATCAATACTAACCCATATGGTTACTCATATTTACTACCGCCGTTTACCCGCCCTTGGTGTAAATTTCCATTTTAGCTATTTTTTTCTAAAAAAATCGATCCACTCTACTTAGAATCTCAAAACCAAGCAAGAACATTCCCTTGGTTCTCCGGAGTAATGTAAGGCAAATTGGTCAAGTGGTTTATGAGTTATGATAGGTCATACAAACAAACAGACAAACAGAGATTACAACTTTATAAATATAAATATATATATATCACAAGATCATTAGTTTCTCGTCTCAGACAGGAAGAGATGGAAAACAAAAGCTCAGAAATAGAATTGTATTTGTTTCAGTTTAGTCTAGGAAAACTATTTTTTTCAATGGCTAATTATATTAATGGATATTTTTACAGGGGTGGGTTATAAATAAAGGATAAAACTTTAAAGGAACTGGTAATTTCGTCAAATTGCTGATATTACCAATAATTAGGTTATTACTTGCATGAAGAAAATCCCTCTCTATTGACGACTTGAAACTTTCACCATTTTACGACCAAAAGAATAGATTTATTATGGCTGCAATCATACAGTGAAACCCGTAAAACAGTGGAATAAGAAGATGATATGATGTTTGGAGTAAAATACTGATCAGACCTTTTGATAAAAATCCTTTGAAAAGGGCACTTCAATTCAAACCCAAAAATTCCAAAAAAACTGGCTCAGCTATCTTTGTAAAGAAAATTCCAGATGCAAAATTGCAAAATTCGGTTCAAATATCCTGTTGAAATAATTTTGATCAGCGATTATCTCATCCTGCTAGGTCACATAATCAAAGTTAGAAAAATCAAAAAAAATCTGCTAAGAGGTGAGTAATTAGTTCCTATATATGTAGCATGTGTGTGGCTCCTTTTACGTAAGATCGTCGCGTATGAAACAAGGGTTTCCAATCAGAATTCCGTTGCACTGAATTGCTGGCAACTGTTCTAAGAGTTCTCATATTGCGAGGAATTGGTCAGAATTGCGCGGATATTAAAAGGCCCGCAATTGCGCTTAAGTAAAATCAGCTTGCGTTGGAAACTCTATTTGTATATGAAATTGAAATTTAAGAGTTCAGAAAACTATGCGAAATTTATTGAAATAATTTCCAGCTTTGGCTAAAATGAATAATATCAAATTGTTCTTAGATATATTTTATCTCATCAGCTTTTCAATTAAGGTTAAGGTTAATTTTCTCAGTTTAAAGTTTAATTGGAAAATCTTTTAATTCTTTATCGAAAACCTCAGTTAGCAATTTGGATTATATTAAGATGAAGGGAAACAGAGACTGAATTAATTGGATTTGAGCTGCGTCGCTGAACCATCTACACTGCCGGTTTAAATTTGAACCACTGGTTTAAGTTTAAAGATTCAGGAAGGATTTGATTCGGTGATGATTCAAATTTGAACCACGCGGCGGTAGGCAGTTCTAATTCATTAAATTTGGTCTCGAACAAATTTAAGTATTCAGTCAAATAAGTATATGTAAAACTAGATGAACGTTGCCCGCGTAATTTTTTTTTTGAAAATCAATATTTAAAGAAATGTTTTTAACACTGTAACACCCCCTGATACCCATGAGTGTCCACAAAAAATGTCATCCCATTCGTTCCAATTGTTTGGCCGGCTATAGGCAACTTATGTATATGAATGTCTTGTTTTATTTTATAGATTAGGTCTGGGTGAAGTTTCGTTAAAAAATTAACGGAAGAGACCCTTAACGAGCGACAAAAATCGTCATTTTTAATATGATCATAAACGTAAACTAAAAAAGCCGTTCTCTAAACTTAAAACATTCGGACGTGTGAGTGATACATTATTCATGACTGAATTTTTCATTTTTCACTTTCCAATATTTTTTATTGTCCAACCCTTCTCTCCGCTGAATCAATTCGAATAAATTATTCATTTTGAATAGATTTGTTGAAAACTGTTGGAACTCGGACTAACTTTCTAGAATTCATTTTATTTAACTTTATGTCAGATGAGTCAGATAGGCTTCAAATATTTTAATGAAATTACTTTCAACAAAAATCCCAGAAACTCTTAATTTGGTCTAATATGTTCTATAACAGGCATTTTGAAATTTTACAAATATGATTTTCAAACTTAGTGTGATCATTAACCCAGTATTGAACAGCGCTTCCTGCTAAAACATATACAGTTATTTTTCAAATATCAACGATAGTTAAGGCATAGTTTGGTCTATTGTTATCTTCACTAACCAAAAGCTTGTAAATGTTAATGGACATTCCAGCGAACTTTGAATCTAATATGTTATGCAGGGCTATACACAAAGGATAAGACTTCAGAGACGACTTTACAGAATTAACACTCTGTCAAATCATAATATTCATAATCAACGGAAACTGTAAATTTTCTTTCTTTCTTTACAAAATCATTAAATATCATGGTTTATATGCATCAGCATATATATATATAGCCCTCCCCTTTAAAGATAATAATATGAAAGTAAATAATGAAAATTAAATTAAACATTTTTATGCAGTTATTCAGTTATTCGAGAGAGAGGGGGGTTTAATTCATTCATCACTAATTCTTCAACTCTATTGAACTATTTATTGATTAAAAAAATTGTTACATTAATAAATATATATTACAATGTCTAGTAAAAAATGCTTTATTGTAAAGTTTAGCACAGTTGCCGTTAATGTCAGAAAATAAAAATTCAATATTAAAATATTTGTATTTTTTAAGAGTTCATGGCGGATAAAGTAGTGGAAAACTTTAATGTATTTATTTTACCAATATCCATACAAATCTAAATATTTTTCTTGTTGACGTTTATAGTAGAAATCAATTTTGAGTAACATTTCTAAATAACTTTCAGTCTTTGCCACTGACTCAAGTTCTCTAATTCCTATATCTTTGAAACCTAATGGTGTAAACCTTTCATATATCCAACTTAGGTTATTTGATCTGACAGAATTCAAAGTTTAAAACATCTAATGTCTGTGACACTGGATAGCAAATATATAGGTATAAGAAAAGTTAAAGTTAACTACGATTGAATCGAAACGAAAACTTATAATCTAATAAGAGAAGAGAAATCGGATATTTCTAGAATTCTAGAACAATTCGATCAACAACATATTTTGTACCTTTCAACATTTTTCATAGTATGCACAATAATGTTGATAAAATATTAAAATATTGAACAAAACTTAGATCAATAACATTTAATTTGCCCTTAAACGAGCATAACATAGAATACGACATAATTGTAACTGGTTTAAAAGTAGTAAAAAAATAGAGTATTCTTGTGAATATTATGCATTGTTTAAAGGGAGAAATCGGCTAAACACGGTACTGGTAGTTGAGCTAAGAGTAATGCAGTATTGTAGAGAAAAGGATTCAGTAAAAAAGTTAAAAAAGTCTCAAATAAATCCTCTATACAATACTCTCAGCTCAACTACTTAGCCTAAACGGTCTCTCCCTTTAAAGCGAGGTATTATAATGTTTAGTAGAATTATATAAACATAAATGTTTTTGAGTTTCCGACAGTCATTCTTTTCGGGCTTTTAAACAACGAGTTAGCAACCACAACATACAAACAAATATATTGTAAAATTATTTGTAGATTTTATAAAATAAATGATGTCAAATATAAGCTTCTTTTCTTAATTTTAAAACAAATGGGGAGAAAATGAGAAGAAAATTTCTATAAGGATTCAGATATAGTTCTCTGGCTATCTGAGCTGAACAATTCAATAAAGGAAGAAAAATTTAATCAGAAAAAATGCTAAAATTTGTTTAAGAAAATTTTTTTGACAAATGAAAAAAATTACTATAGCTTAATAGTAAAAAAGTCCATTCTTGGTGAACACATATAAGTTTGGGACTTTAGAAAAGCTATCAAAAAGTTTAGATGTTTGAAGAAGGTATTGTACATTTTTAGTAGATGAATATATGGGTAAAGTATAAACTTTTGAATGAATTATAATTAATCCAAAACTCTTGAACTCTATATCCTTCGATCTGAAGTTCATTTTCCCAATATAGAAAACATACATTCACATTTCGAGACGTTCTTCACCTTTTCCAAAAATCTTGATCCATGGATATTGGATTCTCTCTGTTTTTACCCAATTTTAAGCCGGCATCTTGACCCCTAAGTCTCCCCAATATCTTTTAGTAAACAGATCTTCAGATTTGAGTTGTCGAACCATGAATCCTAGAGGATGGAATCCATTGATGTATCCTACTCCAGTTTTGGATCCAATAGGAACTAGCATCCCATTGAATCCAAACGACCAGACTGTCATCTGAAACATTTTGAAATCAGAGCTGGGAACTTTTGAATGGTGGATATCGGGATTAATGCTTAATCCCCTCTTTTTCTTAATTTCGAGATTAAATATTGCTTGTTCTCCTCTCATATTTAATCTCCAGATTAATTATCCGATCAGGATTAAGGATATCCCATTCAAAAGTTTTCAGCTCTGAACATATTTTTGATAATAATAATAATAATGATCAATAATCGGATTGAGATTGAGATTAAGGGACTTTTGATCCTCAATAATATCTATGTTCAAGATTCACTAAATCACAAGAGAACCCTTTAAACTTTGTTTGAATAAATCAAACCGGCAATATCAGTATCGTATGTTATTAGTACACATTTCGAAAAATGTATAGGCGCAGAATTTCTTCATTTTTTCTGAAACAAAGGTGTAAAGGATAAAATAAAGTTTACAGCCGTTGTCATATATATATATCAATACAATGAAGACGACTTTGGATTTCAATTTATGATTTTTATCAAGATTTTAAACAGCATGGAATAATATGGATACACATAAACATGAAAACAAATCTGCCAATTAACAGCTTTGCTTACTCGTACATTAGAAATTTGAAAAGCTTGTTTTAAATCAAGGGTAATGTTACATCGTCTATACGCAACATCCAACTTACTGAACTTCTGACCTACTTACTTTCCGACCTACTGCAAAATCGGACCTATGTCAGCTGTTTATTTTTGTATTATTTCAGGATTAGGTTATGTTAAGACAATTTCTGGGCCGATGGCTGCGGCAACAAGTCCATCTAGCAGCTGTAAAACTACGTGCTAGTAAGTCGGATGTGTAATATAGCGGATTTGGCGTAGGTCAAAAGTGGAGTATAGCGGATTTGCGTTGGTCAAAAGATACACCATCTAAATCAAATAATCAAATTTTGAATAGAAAAGTCGTCTTTATTGTACTGATAAAAACGCCGAATACTGTATATATGCAAGAAAAAACGAACCAAAACGGCTTTACAAAACTCTAGTTTGAAGTAGGACATGCTATTTTCACTGAGGAATTACTTAAAATTAAATCGACAGTCTCTTTAAGAAGAAACTGATCAGATCGAGATCAAAATTTGGAGCAGATCAAAACCCACAATAGACCTGGACGCCATATAAAAATCAAGAATAAACATGAGTATATACTTATCAGAATTACACTCTTTATTGATGAACAGGAGGAAAAAAATAAAATTTGGGCATCACAAGGCAATTTTTTCATTCTTTTTGATTCTTTCTCACAAAAAATCTTTTATTTTCCAATACAAATCATTAATTCCCCAATTCAGCGAATAAAACCCTAAACAGCACTGAAAACTTCTGGGTAAAAAAAAAAATTTTCATAAGGGGGGGGGGGAGATACCGATAAAATATACACCCGGATAACATTCCCATAAGTTGACCTGTTTTCCTGCTGCTTCAGCAACAATGTTTGCAACAACACATTCTGCCTGTTTTCCAGCATACACCGCCATCTTTCTTTCTACAGTGTTACAGCAGTCACCCAGAGCAAATACATTAGTCAACCCGTCTACTTGTAAATACTGGTTTACCTAAATACATTATACAACAATTAAATTCAGAAAATTCTAGAAAATAAATTAAAATTGGATCGCTTTTATTCTTCAAAGTTAGATCAAAAAATCTAAATATAGTAAAGTGGCGAATACAAAACATTAACACCCTTATTTTTTGCCAGTCATAATTGAAAAATTAAATCCTTTTAATACAATAATTATATTTAGAAAATTCTAAAAAAATCAAAATTGGATCGTTTTTATTCTTTAAAGTAAAATAAAAAGCTCTAAATACAGTGATCGTATCTAATACAAAAGAGTAAAATCCGTAATTTTTGCCGGTCAAAATTGAAAAATCAAATCCCTTCCTTTGATTTTTCAGATACTGATTAGACAAATGAAACAGGAATATTTTTTTTATGAAAATAGCCTCTCATCAGAAAACATATTATATTACATCTATAGGACAACAGTTTTATCAGTTTAATCATTTAATGGTTTATTTTTTATTTTAAGAGGCTAAACAAGAATATGAGATGTTTTTTCAAATTGACCGTTATTATACATAATAATAATAACATAAGAGCTTCTAGAGATATCAATTTTTAAACTTGTAACAATTAACAACTCTGATTCATTAGAAAAAGTTACAACTAAAATATTTGCAAACAACCCAAAAAACGAGGCCCATCTCTAATATCAACCTTGATCCTGTTGTTGTCAATATTGTCAGCACTAGGAACCAGCATCTTGATAGAGTCGACATTAGAAGGGAGTCCGATACAACTTTACAATTACATATTTCATTATAGTTTCTTACTCTTGGATTTATCTTTTATTGATTGTTCTGATTTATACACAGTTACCTTAGATATAATCATTTAATAGCTGATAATAGGATTTAACAAAGAAAAAAAAGTTTATAGTTGCAGGAAATCTTTAATATAAAGAAACTGACAGTATAAATTCCGTACACTCGACACGAAGTCTCATTCTTTTTGGGTAACCCTGTATATTAAAAGCTAGTTGAATACGTGCAATGTGGCAAGTAGATTAAAGATGTAACTGTTGATTCTGGAAATATTAACGGAAAAGTAAATATTTTTAAATAAAACTGTAGCTTAGAAAGACGACAGTAAGTTATTATTTTAAATAGAAATTGTGGAAGGTGCAATGTATAAATTCGCGTAAAAAGTTGTTTATAAAGCAACGGGTAAAAATATTTGGTTAATGACAATACTAAGTACACATGAAATTAATTAACTGTCGTCTTTGATTCCCAGAGTAATATGAGTCTCAATGTAAGCCCGCTGCTATTTGTGTCAACTATTAAATCTGCCTAAAAATTAGTAGTTAACATTTACCAGTTACCACGGAACCTTCTGAGCATTGAGAACTATTTTTTACCGAAACTAACTGAAAGTAGAAGAAGTATTTTGTGGAATTTGAAAGTCTTTCATGTGTCTGTTAAAAAACTGACCGATATCGCCGTTAAAAATATAAATAGCTAACTTTAAGTAGAATAATATTAAAAAGAACAGTCGGCTATGAAAAATAACTAACCGTTTTTAAACGGTATATAAAAAAGACTCCAATTGAATATATTCCTAATAACTAGATCAGCTGAGATATTCTCTCCTGAGCTAAGCTGAACATTCTGGGTCTTCACCTTGTTCAAAACCACACTGGATAGATCAACACGTCCGACTACAACCTGAACACAATATATATTATTAATTATTTTGCATTTTTTTTAAACAGGAAAACAGTCGAGCATTTCTACCCAGATATTGTAGAGTGTAGACTTAATTTTTAGTAAGCCATTATTTACAAAGCCGTGGGTTAGTTTCAAAACGGGACGCTTTCAACCTTTGTCTGAGCCAGGGTTTTTTTATTTTAGGTTTAAAAAAGTGCTTTTTTAATATCTTATAGAACATTAAAAATGTCAATATGATTAAAAGAACGAAATACAGTGAATAGAGATAATTAATTGCAAAATTACACAACATTAGCTTTATACCTTGATGTCTAAATATTCATGTTTGTCGAATACAGGGTGTCCCAACAAACATTGGAAACTTAGAGACAAATTTGAAATTGTCTTCTTAAATGGGTTTCGCTAGTGATACCTACAGAGAAAGCTGTAATACGGATAATTTTTTCAAATGCTTGAGTTAACAATATGTTGACCTGTCCGTCAACACTGTTCATATTACGAAAATACTACAGGCACAACATATATGCTGTCCTGTCCGTCATCACTGTTCATAATACGAAAATACTACAGGCACAACATATATGCTGTCCTGTCCGTCATCACTGATCATATTACGAAAATACTACAGGCACAACATATATGCTGTCCTGTCCGTCATCACTGTTCATATTACGAAAACAATACAGACACTACATAAAACTTTTTACCGTTTTCACAAAATATTCAATTTAGCGTAATGAAATTTAATCTTTGCCAATTCCTTTATTATGTCTTTTAAAATAAGGTAAATTCTTCAAAACGAATCTGCAGAGACGATACCAAATCCTTTCCTTATTCCCTAAGCAATTTTATTTTGAATTTCTATGATTCATTCAAAGATTTAAAAAATACAAAAGTTTGCAAAATTTCTTAATAATTCAAGACTTAACTTAAAAAATTTGTCACTTTTTTCAACCTTTTATTTCTGGGAAAGCTTGATTTTAAAGTCTGAATTTGATAATAATTTTACTAAATTGTTCTACCGCCCTTACCAATTGTTTTTTACTAATATGTCAATAAATCTTCACTTTCTGATAATGGAATGTTGCAGATATTTAGTTTTTTGATTAAATGATTATATGGAGCTCTTTATAACTGTTCCCGCATATTCATGGCTATTTATTTTCGCAAATACTGAGATTTATGTACAATATTATAAAACCCATTGAAAAATTGTCAAGACGACATTTAATAAGTTCTTTCGATGTATGACTCATTTGGGGGTTAACTGTATGAAATTTTTATTCACATTTATATTTATGTAAAAAAAAATCAAGGAAGACGACAATTCTTGTTTTCTTCCGTAGAAATATTTACTCTAATAATGTAGTAATACA